ATGATTGTTCTGTCCAAGGAGTGTATCTACCTCAGGTAAATGTTCAACTCATAGGCCTGTGTTTTGTTTGGCTGGAAGCCACAGGTGTGGGTTCAATTCTAGACCTGAAAGACAGATAGGGGCCATAGCCCAGTGGTTCTCCAGGCTGTATCAGACCAGCAAACCTGGTCTCCCCCCCACCTTTTTTTTTTCTCCAAATGATTTTGAGTTTTTTTCCACATTATTCTCCCTCTCTATCCAGGATCTCCTACATAGATCCCCCTCCAAGTGGTGACAGTGGTAGCTGGGCACCATCTAGTTCTTCTGGTCTCATAATCTTATAGACTGAGGATTGCATGGTGTACCAGTCACGAGGACTAATTGTTTCCATGAATCTTTGGTTGTCTTCATTATTTTTTGCTCTGGATGAGGAGAGACCCATCATTGCATCTAGATGGCTGCTTGCAAGCTTTTAAGATCCCAGTCACTACTCACCAAAGTAGGAGGTGGAACAATGTTTTCTTTTAAAACTTTTAAATAAACTTATTAGTTGGGTTTTAGATTTACAGAAAAGTTGCAAAAATAGTACAGATTGATTCTTTATACCCCTGTAAGTTCTTCTATTATTAACTTCTTATATTACTATTACATAGTTGTCATAACTAAGGAACCAGCATTGAGCCATTACTATTAACTAATCTGCAGATATTATTATGAGTTTCGCTAATGTCATCTTCCTGTCTCAGGATACCATATTATATGTAATCATAATATTTTCTTAGTCTCCTCTGATCTGTGACATTTTCTCAACCTTTCTTCGATTTTGTGGCCTTGACAGGTTTGAGGAGCACTAGTCAAACAGGGTGATTTTAGAGTGTCCCTTCATAGGGTTTATCTGATGCTTTTCTCATGGTTATGGGTTTTGGGGAGAAAAACCAGAGGTGAAGTGCTCTTCTTACTACATGAATAACCTCTATGCATGTGAAAGATGGACAGTGAATAAGGAAAGTGGAAGAATTGATGCATTTGAATTGTGTTGGCAAAGAATACTGAAAATATCATGGATTTCCAGAAGAACAAACAAATCTGTCCTGGAAGATATACAAGCAGAGTGCTTCTTAGAAGCAAGAATAGGCAGATTCGTCTCACCTCCTTTGGTCATGCTATCAGAAGGATATCATGCTTGGAAAAGTAGAGGATCCACGGTAAAAAGGGGAAGATCCTCAACGAGATAGATTGACATAGTGGCTGCAGTGATGGGCTCAAGCACAGCATGGATTGTGAGGATGGTGCAGGAGCGGGTAGTGTTTTGTTCTATTGTACACAAGGTCACTGTGAGTTGGCAACTCGATGGCACCTAACAACAACAACAGCAAGGTTACATGCTATCAGCAGTTATGCAATAAATTGTTGTTTGCTTTTGACTTATGCTTATTTAAGTAAATTTTAAGATTTCCTAGCAATTCTTTTGTTCATATTATATATTCCACTCAGGGTGTACTATGTTTAAAAGTAATTAATTCAAATTCCTTTTTTTTTGTTTGTTTGTGGTTATTATCAGTTGGATATACATTAGGTGCATTTGTTTCTATTTGTGTTCAATTTTAAGGTTTTCTTTTTCCCCTCATATTTTTTGCATTTAATTTTATTGGAAAATATTTGTGATATTTACGTGATTTGAAAGCCAAAAGCATGTGGAAAGCCGTACTCAGAGAAATCTCATTCTCATTTTTCTCCCGTTTGCCATTCTTACTGATCTGTCAGTAGTCATTTTCTTTAGTTCTGATTTATTATTCTGCCACTTTTCACCAAAATAAACAAGTGTGTGTATAGCATACAGACAATAGCATACCACATATGCTCTTTTGTACTTACTATTCTTCTGTGCTCTTCTCTTCACTTAGCAATTTATCATTTCATTTGGTGTTTACTATGTATTAGTTTATAGAGCCCTTCAGCATTTGTTTCTGAGACTTCATGGTACTCTATTGTATGGATATACCTTTGTTTAGTTAGTTATTGTCATATGGTTGAGCGCTTAAGTTGTTGCCAGTATTTTGCTTTTACACTACTGGTAGTGAATAACCTTCTGTATATATTTTGTGTTTGTTGAGGTAACACTTTTTTTTAGTATCATTATTAACTTTAATCTGTTCGATGTCTTTTAGTTTGATATACTCCTCACTTAGTGACATGGTTAGGTTCCAAAGACCAGGTCATTATGTGAAAATTGATTACGTGAAAATAGAGGATGACCATATCAGATTACAAAATAGAGGATGACTAGACTACATCATTACTTAACTGAGAATCATGGCCCAGCCTGATTGACCTTAACCTTAACCATCACAGGCAGCGTTACTCTCACCTTGTACTTCGGGGTTCATTCCTGCCAGATGAACATCATTAATGCACAAAATATTCATATAGTAGATTTTTTGCTGTTGTCGTAAATGTAAAATGTCAGAAATGAGATAGTCGATATGTGAGAAGACCTATGGACATTTATTACAACAAGCAGTTTTTAAATTTAGGAACATAATAAAGTATGATTAAGGTGAAAATTATAAACTATTCCATTAAACCCATTGTTGTTGATTCTGACTCATAGCAAACCACTGGCCAAGTGTTTAATCATTGTATCACCAGGGCTCCTTGACAAACTACTAACTACACTGAAACATTTAAGTTCAATAAATCCAAAAAAACCCCCAACCCACTGCCGTCTAGTCAATTTCAACTCCTAGTAACCCTTTAGGACAGAGTAGAAATGTCCCATAGAGTTTTCAAAGCTGTTAATCTTTACAGAAATAGACTGCTTCATCTTTCTCTTGTGGAGCAGCTGGTGTGTTTGAACTCCCAGCCTTTTGGTTAGCAGCCAAATGCTGTAACTGCTATGCCACCAGAGCTCCCATTCTAAATCCAGGCAACTTCAAATCTATTATGGTATGGAGAGCTGTCTGTCTTCAGGTTAGGTATAAGCATGTGCATCAATAGGGATAATAATCTCCTCTGAGAGCACTCTTTACTATTCCAAGTGTCTTATTCACTGATCCCAAAACTGGTTTAGTTTTCAGCCCTACTTAGGGTTCAGCCCATTCTTCAGGCAAGAATGCATTGACCTCTACTACTTGCCTGTCTAAATGTCATTTCTCCTGTTTAAGACCTAGAAGGAATTCTACCTTTCCCCCAAAGCCTCTCCTCCCCAGCCTCACCAGTAGTTCCTGAGTCATCAAACTCTATTGTTAGTATGAAGCATAGGTCCTGTGTTTCATTAAAAAGCAAACAAATAAAACTATATCCAGCTCTCAATCATATATGTATTTGTGAATGTTTACTGATCTAACAGCAGACTAGGATAAAAATAAGATACTTATTTTTTAGATTCAACTCATTTCTCTGAAGCAGATAGAAAACATTTAATAAGTTTCAAATGTAATATTAAATATTTTGTTTTTGTGAAAAAATCTAAATAATGAAAGTCAACTTTTAATTCTCCTCAGCTTGTCTCTTATTTTAAAAGAGCCCTAATTTGCAGCCAAGAATAGAGACTAGTATAGTGAACATCCATGTACCCATAGTTGATTTTTATTAAGCCTTAATATTATCATATTTGTTTCAGATCTTTTCAAAAATGAATTGATTATTACAAATAAAACTGAGCTTTCTTAGGTACTTCTTCCAAATTCTGTCTCTCACTTCACAAAGATGATCACTTTCTCCTTCATACTATTTTGAAACTTAAGTAATTTTAGAAAGCCTCTAAAACCCACCATTAAAGGTGTAAAAATAATGTGTGATCAGGTCTGCTAGTATGTATTTTTAGAGTATCAGTTTGCTCAAATATGGCTGGTGCCTATGCAGTTTTTTCTAGGCAAGGGGAGCCGTACCAGCAGGAGTAGAGCTGTAGCCCTCAGTGGGAAGGACAAGGATCTCGGTTTGCTTCCCAGCCTTGCAGGCTCGCTCCACTGGTGGAGGTCGTGCTTCCTGCATTACTCAGAGCTCCATGTCCATCTGCATTGCCTCAGTTTCTACAAGCCAGCATTTCTACTATATTGTGTTTTGCACTTTTAGTACTTTTTGAAACAGCCACTAGTCAACCTGGACTATTTAAGATGAGCATGTATCAGCTGATGACAAAGTTGTGTAAGTTTTAAATGATCTGCCCAGCACCATTTTTCCTATCAGCCCTAGAATGTTTGTGTGCAGTTTTGCAGACTATTGAGGTTTTTTGAGAACATCTAGCGTGTTGTAGGAGAAATGCCTACAACTGAAATATGTTGTTTTAAGTCTTATTATTTTGTTATTCATATAAAAAAGCAAAAACCAAACTCATCGCCATTGAGTCGATTCTGACTCATAGAGACCCCCATTGGGTTTCCGAGGTGGTAAATCTTTATGAAAGTCAATTGCCCAGTCTTTGTTCTGTGGAGTGGCTTGTGGGTTTGAACTGCCAACCTTCTGGTTAGCAGTCAAATGCCTTACAGAACCAACCAAACTCTGCCCTCGAGTTGGATCCAACTCATGGCAACCCCTCCTTGGGTTTCTGAGGCGGTATCACAACAGAAGTAGATTGCCCAACCTTCCTTCTGAGGAGTAGCTGGTGGGTTTGAACTGTCAGCCTTCTGGTTAGCAGTCAAATGCCTTAGGTAGTTAAATTTTCAAAAGACAATAGAAAAAGTCATCATCTTTTTCTATTTCTTGTTAAGTAGGAAGCCCACTAAACTCTCCTTACTGAGAGTGAGACAAAGTGATTTTGTAAGCTTTTTTTAATCACATATTATATCTGGAGCAAAGAATTTAGTAGGAGGAAAAGCTATGAATTAGGCACTTTATGAGGAAGTGAAAATAGAATTTCAATTTTAAATTTCCATCAGTTAAATTATCATGCAAATTGATTTAAAATTGAGATCTATTTATTTTCTACATTGCATTAAAAAAGCTAGGAGGATTCAATATAAAATATGGTTTGGAAAAATATTCGATTGAATTAATTCACTATGTTACTCTGTTTCTTGCAGTTTGATATTTGGAAGTCAATTGGATATCCATTCAGGTGGGATAGATTTAGCTTTTCCGCATCATGAAAATGAAATCGCACAGTGTGAAGTCTTTCATCAGTGCAAGCAATGGGGAAATTATTTCTTTCATTCTGGTAAGTAATGACTTCAAATTAGTTTATTCTATTTGGATTCCATCTTTTTTGGTAAAATAGCTACATTAGGAAATACATAGGTAAACTAATAGGTTAAAAAATGGATTCATCTCTTAAATTGTTTTTGAATTTTGGTTAGTTGAACATGAACTTTCCTGAGATTGGAATAATGTATATTCGTTTTTGAAACTGAAATATTCAACTGACTAGAATATAGGTGCTCAAATAATTTCTTTTAGAAGAATCAGTACAAGGATGGTCCCAAATGTCCAACTTTTCTAAACTTCTGTACCACTCCATCATCTCTAACAGCAACTCCTCCTCCTCCCCTCAATACTCTCCCTCCCATCTTTGGGTTCTGTTATGCGATGTAAAGTCTCCCAGAACTCACCAAGAAAATAGCTCATGTGGTTGTGGAGGCTAGCAAATTCTAAATCTGTGGATGAGGTGTCAATCTAGAGGATTGTCTTCATTCATATGGTTGCAAGCACCAATGAACTCAAATTGGCAGGTCAGTTGAGAGGCTGTTTTCTCATGAGGCTGCAGAGGCTAGTGAATCAGGTCAGATGACAGGCTATTGTCCCAAGTCCCAAGAACCAGATGTCAGATGATAACAAAACAGATGCAGGATCTAGAACAAGAGAGAGAACATTCATATATATCAGATGCAGACCATACCCTCAAGGGTGGTGACTTGAGTCAGAACCTCTAGTAAGGTAGTGACTCAAGGTACATCCCACCCTAATCCTGCCTCATTAACATAACAGACAACTCACTCCAAAATGAGACTATAACTATAGGTATAGAGGCTAGTATTTATAATACATCACAAATGGAGGACTGGGCTGGAAAAGTCATATTAAGTAATTCACTGCACCATAGTAGAAAATGATTTACAGTGAGTTTCTATATAACTTTCTTTCAAAAAAAAATTGTTAAAGAAATTTGAATAGTATGATGTAATAATAATTATGAATGTGCTATATTTAAGCTATAATATTGTTGCCAAGCATGTCTATTATTTTCTAATAGCACTGTCACCTATTTCATTTTTCAAAAAGAACATGATTGATTGGCACCAACCATCAGTTCTCAAAAGCACATACAACATTAAGAAATAAGTGATATCTTTAGCATAGTGTGGTACACTGAATTACTTTTAGCCATTGTCTTTGTGACTCCCACAAGATGACTGAGTCGAACTTATATTTGTAAGGTGCTTGTAGGGTATTGGATAGCTTGCTAATAATGTAAATAAGATACATGGCACACTGGGGATAGGATGGTGCAAAGAAAGTGTCTGGAACCTTAACATGGGGACTGGTCAGGTTTGCTATCCCAGAGGCAGAAAGAGGGATCTTGCTACCATCTAGAAAGAAGAACCAGGAGTGGAACATGTCCTTGACCCTGAGATCCTGTGCTGGACTCTTTGACCCAGGAGACGGAGAGAGAGAGCTGTAACACTTCACTGAGATGGCAAGAGGCGGTGAGAAGCAGTGACAGAGAAATGGTGGGTAGAGACAGCAGAACAAAGAGACTGGTATGAGACAGAGCAGCGAGCTTCCTGGCCCATGGAGCAAGAAAGTTGAACGCCTTTGGGCAGGGTACTTGCTGGGGGAGTAGGGTGCTTCTCTGGCAGAGCTAAGAGTATTGTGAAACTTGCTAGAGCAAAGCAGAAGCCAGGCCAAAGGGCTGAGGGCCAAAATGAGGCATGCATATGGACAGGGCTGAGGGGAGGCTATCCTGATCAAAGAATTGTATCCTGAGTATTCCTGAACCTGAATTGTAACCTTTTACTTCCCTAATAAACCAAAAAATCCCACACTGATTGCCATCAAGTTGATTCTAACTCATAGAGACCCTCACTGGGTTTCCAAGGCTGTAATTCTTTATGGAAGCAGACTGTACCATCTTTCTTCCGTGGAGCAGCTGGTGGGTTCAAACCACTGACCTTTGGGTTAACAGACAAATGCCTTAATCACTGGATCACCAGATCTCCCTAATATAGCTCAAAATCGTGAGTATTGTCTGTGACTTCTGTGAGGCTATTGCAATGAATTACTGAATCCAGCAAAGAAGTAGAGAGTGCCATGGAAGGGACAGATTGGTGTCAGAATTGGTAAAGATGTTGGAAGGTAGGAGCATGTCTGACCTTGCCTCATAGGAATTAGCTTTGGGCTGTAGATGTTGTTCTGGACCTTCCTTCCCCCATGTGAACTTAGAGGAGGTCAGAAGCTGCCCCATCCCCTTTTTTGCACATGTAGTTGTTGTTGTTTGCCGTCAAGTCGGCCGACTCATAGCGACCCCTCCTTGGGTTTCCGAGGCAGTATCACTACATAGCAGCTTTGGAATTTGCTTTGATCACAGGCAGTTTCATATGTCCAAATTTTGATGAAGGCCATAGGGCTAGAATTAACTAGTTTTATTATATTTTTGGAAAGGGACAGTTAAAGTATTTGAGATGAAGGAAGATAAGAAGTGTTTGGTAGTGATAGAGCTCAGGAATGCAAGCAATCAACATTTAAAATGCAGTAAATTACCATTACCATTCTTTAAGTTTTTGAGTTATGGAAATTAGGTGCTCACTGTTAAGGTAATATTAAATGCAGAGATGTTCCTTTTTTTTTTTTCAGAACAATGTCTTACTTTGTTTTAGTTTATCTTTTTATTGTGATTGGGTGAAAGTTTGCAGAGCAAATTTATTTTCTATTCAACAGTTCATACATATTTTGTTTCATGACATTGATTATAATCCCCACAATATAACAGCTGTCTTCCCACTTCCTCCCTGTGGTTACCTTTCCCCATGCCCTTCTTTCCTATGCATTCCTGCCCTCTGAGCTATCTCCCTGCACAAATGCTGCCCTTCTGGTCTTCCATGGTTGATTGTTCTAAGGAGTGTACCTACCTGGTGTAATTTTTCACTTTGTAGGCCTGTCTCCTGTTTGGCTAGAAGCCACGGGAGTGAGTTCAGTTCCAGGCCTCTGAAGGGTGACTAGAGGCCATAGTCTTGGGGGTTTCACCAGTCTCTATCAGACCAATAAACTTAGTCCCTTTTTTATGATTTTAAGTTTGGTTCCACATTTTTCTCCACTCTATTCAGGATCTCCAATTTTGATCTCTTTCTGAGTGGTAGACAGCAGTAGCCAGACACCATCTAGCTCTCCTAGTCTCAGGGTCATGTAAGCTGAGATTTACGTGGACCACTAGTCCCTTGGCCTAATTGTTTCCATGTGCTTTTGGTTTTCTTCATTTTTCTTTTGCTGTAAATGAAGAGAGACCAGTTGTTGCATAAATGGCCACTTGCAAGTTTTTAAGACCCCAGTCACTACTCACCGAAGTACGATGTAGAACAATGTTTTTGCATGGTATGTTATGCCAATTGAGCTTGATGTCCCCCATGACTGTGGTCCCGAGCTCAGAAGCCCAATAACTCACTCCCTCATGGTGGTTGGCTATGGCCAAGAAGTTATCATAACTTTGCCCCCTGTTAGCTCTTATATATATATATATATAAATGGACATTCTTTTT